TTGTACATTTGCCCAAAACCAGTCAAAATTACTTCCTTGGGCAATCTAGTGTTAAATTAATGAAACTTTGTAATATCGATTAGGCATCGCAGGATAATTCAAGCAAACCCAATTGCATTTCAGTCGTTTACAACTGTAATAATAAATGGCTTGTTTGCGATTTGTGACGGTCGTTTTTGTCTCGGAGTGTATCTGCTAGGATTGTGTCACGTAACGATAGTAGAAACTATTCCATGGTAATTCGCCCACGGGTGCACACGCTCACGCGATCCCATCGCTTCTCGCCTTTTGCCTACACGGCATTAGGATTAAACGGCTTAGATAGCGTCATTAGGAACGTCAGACTAAATCTGTGACAGTCTCTTTCCAATTCTAATATATCCGGTACCCTTCGCGCCTTCAACTTTTTACAAGGTCAGCCTTTTCAATGTCTCCGCCTGCTCCTTGGTTCGAATTTTTTATGCAACTTTAAATAAAATTCTAATCTCGTTAAAGACGTGTCGTTAAAACGTGGGTTGCATTCGTTTCGTCAGAACTCGTCGATTAATTGTTGCACTGTTAATATATCGTCGTTTTTAATGGGGAAAGCAAAGAGGCATTACGGGTTTGTTTCTTATGCAACGACAAACGTGTAGGATATTTTGTTCGTTATTGTTGGTCGATTAAGTGGGCTGTAATTTGCAACGTGAGGTAATAACAGTGGGAGATTATAATGCGGCTGTTCGCGAGCGAACAGGTGGTGGTGCTGCTGCTGTTACTGCGGTTACTGCTGCGCCCATGAATATTTAAACAGCGTAAAAAGGAGATTTAACTTGATCGGGAGAGGTGAATAATTGATTCGTTGTTAAGATTAAACGTTCATGGAAATTTATCGCATTTCTTGCATCTCTTTTTCCATTGACTGATCAACGTAAAGCATACTTGGAACGTGTTTCGTATTAAATAGCCAGTTGATCGAATTAATAACAACTATGATTTCTTTTAATCAGTAATTTATTACTAATTAATATTTAACGATATCGAGTCTTGTCTTGAGGGTTGTTAAAAATGTAAAACCATTTACATTTGTAAGATATAATTATTACATAGAATCAATGGAATTTC